GAGGTCTGAGATAGGCAGGCTCAGGCATCAGATCTACAGGAAGCTTTGGCTGGTCAGAGATAAATTTCTGTCTGTGATACACTGCTTGGATAACTTCATTCTCTGCTGTGCTACTGAACCTTTTCTGCAGATTTATGGCTAAATGATTTTGTGAAATGTATTCATTCTATTCAATATAATCAATGTAATCAATGTGTCAATCAAAAGATTGCCAGATCATGTAGTTCCTGAGTAGTTCATAATAAAAATTATTAGCTTCAGTGCTGGATTGCAGAGTCATCTTATATATAAGCCACAAGTTGCTTCTTGCTGAAATCTCAATTTCCTAGTGATGTCACAGTCCCCAGAGCATCCTTGCAGGAGGAAGGGGTTCCAAGTCAACCCTGAAAGTGACATAACAGGTACTAAAGTGTCCCCATCAGACTGCAGTTACTTCTGCTAGGAATGGGCATGAACCAAGTGGATCAGGCTGCAAACAGCTCCTACAAGCTGTGTCACTTCCAGAGGTACCAGCTTGAGCCTGAACTTCTCAGCTCAGCAGCTGTTGTTCACCATCCTACAGTGTCTCATCGCACCCTGTGCCCTTGAGGTGCCCTGAGGTGTGTGAGAGCCCCGGTGGGGCTGATCTGCTGCAGAATCCTGGGGAACACCAAACCCATCTGGGCCATCAGCCAGAGGCCCGGCAGGTTCCCCAAGGGCATCTGCAGTGGCTCTGGACACCTGAGCACAGGGAACCAGATCCCAGCACAGACCCTGGGCCATGCCTGGTCGCACCAGGGACTTGTGCTCTTGTTGTCTCCATTGCCAAGGTGAGAGCAGCAGTAGCACTCACTTGTGCCAGCTGGATAGCTTAGAGAGGTAAGAGAATATTTTGCTGTTTAGGAGGACAAAGTAGGAATATCGCTTTGACACCCTTCTGCTGGACAGCCCCTGTGCACCAGGTCCCTGCCCCCATGCTCCAGGTCCCTGCCCCCATGGGTTTTTTCTCCTGGGATCAAATGCCAACACAGCCCACTCCTGGTGCTGGTTCAGCCTGAAGTAAATCTCTGCTGTACCTCATGGGGCTCCGTCTGACTTGCTCCTCAACCTCTTCACTCCAGCTGAGTCTTGAAACTCATCCTTGTGGGGCTCATCCAGTGCCACACAGCCCTTGCTTTCCAGGCTCTGAAACCACTGGCTGTTTGGCCATCCCCAGGAATCCCATCCCTATCACCTCCCTGGGGGTCTCCCCAGGATCAAGAGTCCTGTCAGTGCCCAGAAAAGCCCTCCCCTCCACATCAAGCATGTGAAATACATGGGAAGCCCAACAGAGAAAGGAATTAGCTTGGAGGTGCTAAAGGCACAAATCCCCTTTTTGCAGTGCTTCAGTCACAAGAGGTTTTTCCATTTCCATTTGCTCAGCTACCTCCTGCTTGGCCTGCCTTGAGAATGAGGTTGGACTGCTGCCTGTAGCCTCTGATAGAAAAAAAAGTGAGGTGGAAATCAGGAGAAGATTGACATGGAGAAGGCAGATCTGGATTTTGGTCCAATTTCCCTAGAAAAGTGCTGCTAGTTCTGTTTCTTTTCGCGCATGACATGGAAAGCTTATCAATAGTCCTTCATCTGTGTATCTCTGAGCTCCAAGCTGGGAGCAGACTGGAGGATCCAATAGGATCCTTTACAGGTTGAAGAAATGGAGGTTTGTCTTACAGAAGAGACCCCATGGGAGCTGGATCAATGAGCAGCAGAGCTCCTTCAACATCACTCACAGCACTTCTCCATCCAGCATGTGCACAGCTCTGGACAACACTTAGTGCCTACACTGACATGAAAGGCAAAGCAGTGCCAGTTATTAGGTAGTTATTATTAAATTGTATAAAAAAGCAGTGAAATGGAAAACCAGGAGCTCCTAGACCCCAGGAGTATGCTGAGAGGTTCATGGCTTCTTTTTACCAGCAACCTCCGAGGCAGGGTGACCCTGGTTCTTCTAATAGATGATTGAGGTGGACATGATGCTGAATGAGCAGTGTCTGTACAAGGCAGGTTTATTTTAAAACAACTGGGTTGCATTGGAAAGGATGTTTGCAGCCATTTTGGTTTTTTTCTGTAAAAGTATAGAAATGTCAAGAAGAAAAAATCTAAGGAGAAGACAGAAGGAAAGAGAAGGAAAGGACAAGAGCAGATAGTGGAGAGGAAGGAGATCACCACCTGTGGATCTGGCAACGAGACCTGCAATTTAGATCCTTTGGGAGTGGGGGCCAGAGGCACAGAGAGTTGGATGGGTTCTATTCATTCTGGGTCCTGTGGAAATGCCCCACTGCCTCCCCTGGAGTGGGGTTTTACACAGTGTGGTGCTACACTGTGGAACTGAGTCAGGGGATGCTCCGGGGGTCTTTGGTGGTTTATGGCCCTTTCTCATGACATGAACACAGTTTGGCCTTGCTTCTTGCAACTGCTGCTTTGTCAGGCCAGTTGGGCCTCATCAGAAAGGAGGAAATATGATAAAAACGATACAAAGGATTGCCCCAGCTCTGCCGAATCTGCTTCTTATCAGCCTTGTCCCTTATCTGCCTTAAAACCACTTTAAGATGCCAGTCCCAGGTTATCAGGGACAAAATAAACCACAGGACTGAACAACTTCCTTCAAACACTCTTGGGTCTATCACACTTCTTCTGGTCATTTCTGGTGGTGACAACCAACTTGTTTTCCAGTATTCCTGGACGTTTCAAAGTGGATGAAAATGAGTCCAATTTAGTAGTGGATGAATGATTATAGACTCATTCTGAGCCTTGGAAGGGCCCTTAAAGATTATCTGGATCCAATCTGCTGCCATGGGCAGGGACAGCTTCCACTAGACCAGGTTGCTCAGAGCCCCATCTAACCTGGCCTTGAACATTTCCAGGGATGGGGCAGCCACAGCTTCTCTGGGCAACCTGTGCCACTGTCTCACCACCCTCACAGCCAAGAGTTTCTTCCTTGTATCCAAACTAAGTCTACACTCCTTCAGTTTAAAACCATTCCACCTTGTTCTATCAACTCCTGGTCCTTGTGCAAAGTCATTCTCCAACTCCCTTGCACACCCTTAAAGAACTGGAAGGGGCTCTAATGTGTCCCCAAGACCTTCTCTTTCCCAGGCTGGTGGCAGGAATACGGGCTCTTACAAAGCCTTGGCAATCCAGAAAGGGAAAATATGCAGCCTGGCCATATTAATTATCTCCTGAGAGGCTGCAGAAGAGCTGACTGTGGACATCTTGGGGTGCTCTGAGACAGGTTGGTCAAAGGCCCCCAGAGATGTTCTGCCAGGAACAGAAACGTGTGTGGGTGCTGCAGCAACAGTGGCTGTGGCCCCTGGGGAATGAGGAAATGGAAGGGGATGTCACCAGACCCAGTTAACTGCTGGCCTGTGCTGACCTGTGGCTTCAATCAGCTACCTTTGGAGAAACCCAGAAGAAATTGCAAATAGCAACTGTCACCCAATTTCTGTGCAAGGATGAACAAATCTCCCCTGAGTAACAACAGAAAACTTCTCCTTTTTTTTGAAATTTTGTGTTTATCAGATTTACAACTGGTTATATAGTGCAGTGGGACTCCTGAGGGATCAGCCAACTGTTTCTCCAGGGAGAAGAGGCAAGGAGTGGCTCAGCTGCCTGTTCTGAGGCTCTGCTTCAAGGTAAGCTCTTACAATTGACTCCAATAATTTCATGTGTTTCCTTAGCTTTGGAATAAAGAGATCAGACAAACATAGGCTGGAGTTGCTGAGCTCCACCATCTGCCTTCCATGGAGAAATGAGAGGTTATGCATGCACTGAATTGTGCAGCTCTTCAACATTTTCTGTGAAGGAAGGCAAGGACAGAAGGATGGATTTGGGAGAGAAATTCAAGTCAAGTCACCAGCATAATTCACATCAAACTGTTTAATAAGAATGGAAGGAAGGGGGTGAGGTGTGGTGCTGAGCTTATGGAATACCAAAATTCCACCCATGACCTTGCAAAAAACCTCTGGACAAACACAGGTACTGGCTGCACTCCTGGGCAAAGTTAATCTGGAACCCTGTGTGGGAAATCTCACAACTCTTCCTTCCAGGGGGATCATATATAAACAGCCAGTCTCAGACTGCAGCAGAGACATTTCAAAGTCCTCTGCCACTCTGGGGCTGGGAGCAGAGTCCTGAGCCCATATTTCCCACGGTAAGTTGGTTTCTCTCTATCTGATATTGAGTAAGTGGGATATATTTTAAGCTGATGGAGGGGTTGGTGCAAAAGGACCTTTCAGGAACTTCTCTGCTTGATTGGGGCAGAGATGGTCCTGCTCTGCAGAGCACTGTACAAAGCTACTGCTTGTGGCTCATATTTTGAGTTTCCTCGTCACTGGTCCCCACGTTCCTGATCCAGGACTGGTAAAGAGAAAAAGGAGCAGATATCTTGGGTGAGAGCAAGGGTGTGTGTAGCTCTATATCCTGAAGTGATTGGATATGAAGAGATAAAGATCAGGGCAAAGGGTCAGAAGAGAGCAAATATGTAAGGTGCCTTGTCAAGTCTTCTGGAGTCCTCAGCCCAGACCCTTTTGCAGTGTAAGGTGGACTGTAGCAGCTTTCTGTCCCATGAATCCTTCCAGCTGCCTCTCCTGCCTGCCTTCTTGAAAATGGCAGACAAAAGATGAATTCTCCCACTGCTGCCTCCTGTAGTCACCTTAACCCTCTTTTAGATTTCAGCCTGTTTGCCCTGGCACTTTTCCATATCCAGGAGGTCAGACAGCACCCTCGTCTTGGTCTTTCATAGTCCCCTAGTCAGCCAGCTGTGTCCCACCAACACAAAAATGACTGCAGGCCACGGTCAACTCTCTCCAAGCTGAGTGTCCCTCTGCATTTGCCTTTCAGAGGAGCAAGAGCCCTTCACCTGAAATCCTCTCGTGATGCTGTGGCTGCTGCTGCTGCAGGTCTGGGCGAGCTGCCTTTGGCTGGGACACAGCGAGGTGGTGGAGTCCTTTGCCAATACATGTAATCAGTTTTTCTACCAGAACATGCCTGCAACAAATGGTCTGCTGCCAGAGAACCCAGCCTGGATCTGCCAGACCTTCAAAAACCAGCCTTTCTATGCCACCTTGTATGACAAAAAGGAGCGTATTCCCGTGTACTCTGCTTACATCTACCAGTTTGACGCTGGCAAGAGAGTTACACCATTATGGATGGTTGAGCCCCAGGTGAGTGTCCTCTCTTACAGCATATCACCCTCCAGTCACTAAAAGATGAACTGTAGCATTTAACCAAATATCTCTATTTCCTCCCACCCTCATACACACACATGCAAATGGACCCATTGGATGGGATTCATCTCATCTTACTTCAAACACCTGCATCACATGATTCCTCTGATGCATTTTAAGCAGCAGCAGGAGCAGGATTGCTATCCCAAAGGTTCACAGTTTTCTGCATTGACCTGAGAGCAACATCAAGACAAATTCCATTCCATTCCAAAGTCAAACTGACGTCCCTCTCTGTGCCCTGCTGTGGTAGGAGATCAAGTGCTGGGGAAAAGGCATGAAACATCAGCTAAATTTGGGGGACCAACAGTCCTGCTGGATTCTGATCTCCACTTTGCCCTGAGCTGTTTTGCAACCCTGACAGAGCTTAATTTCTCACAGTTAGGACTCCATTTGTCTTTGTAAGTGATGTGAGAGAAGTGAGGAGAAACTCAGAATTGGGTGAAATTACCCAGGGAAAAAGCCTTGGTACAGGCACTGATTGGGGAGGGGGTTTGGTGAACCCTGGGGAATGTATTGAGTGCTATTTCAGGCAATGAAAAGTGAGGAGCATCAGTGTCAGTCCAGTCAGAAGGGGGTGATCTCCAGCCATGGCCAGTTGCCCCTGAGCACTGTTGCCTCAGGCTTGGTTCAGAAGGATCCACCAGACACACAGATCTCCACAAACAACAGAGCTCTCCCAAATGTCCTTCAGACCTCCAGTGAAAAAGACCAAGGAAATTATGGAACAGAAAGAGAGGAAGTTCAGGTCATTGCTAAGGACAGAGCAGCAGGAGGGAAATTAGGTGTTCATGGACAATAGAAGAAAGCCATATGCCCTGTTCCAGAGGAAGAATAAATATGTTTCCTCAAAGATGAACAGAAAGGTGTTTGAGTTCTAAAAAAAAAAAAAAAAATCCATTTGCACTTTGTACTCATTGGAACTCAAAGAACTAATATAATATTGCACCACTGCAGTTTCTACATTTACGGGGGATAATGCTTCACTCTTTTCATGGAATCATTGACTCATAGAGGGGTTTGTGTTGGAAAGAACATCAAACATCATCTCAATTCAACCCCCCTGCCATGGGAAGGGCCACCTCCTACTAGACCTGGTTGCTCAGAACCCCATCCAACCTGGCCCTTTCCCTCCTGGATCATGGAGCCAGTCCTCCTGCAAACTCTTTGATTTTGGTAACTTTCTCCAGAGGTCCTTTTTCAGTATTTAGGTTCCTCAGGACTCTTTGGGGATTATGAGCTGTTGAACAGGCTGATCATTTCTAAGTTCTTTTTAGTGAGGCTGCAGAAGATACTCCCTGTCCCAGATCTGCTCTGAGACACATTATTAGGACTGCAGTAGCAGATCCCATTTGCATCAAGGTCAAAAAAAGCTTCATCCTTGCGGTGACCTGTAGCCCTCCCAGGAAACCTCACCTCTAGGACTGGTTTCTCAACACATCTCCCTGGGTATGGGATTACAGGAGGCAAACCCTGGTGTTCCAGGAGTGTAGTATACCTGTAGCAGCCACAGATGGAATCAAAGAATGACAGAATGGGGTGGGAGGATCTGGGGAGAGCAGATGCGGGGTGTGGAGACAGGATGAAATGGAATCAATATGTCAGGGAAGGTTTCTTACCAAACTTAGGAGTGGAAAATTCTAATTGTCTCATGTATCCAGCCACGTTCTCAGCACAGGCTGCAGGCTGGATCACAAAGGTCACAAGTTATGGCTTTATTAATATAATAAGTAAATAAACCATGCGGACCCAGTTAGCTGGTTTGGGGTTCAAAGCCAAATTCTCTTTATTCAAATGAGACAACACCTTATATCTGGGTTAACATGTCACACCATGTGACCTTAACAACCAGTCACCATGGGTATGTCACTGCCCATGGGTGGGAGTACTTTGGGACTTCATTTCCCAGGATGTCCCTCTGGCATCCTTCCTTAAACCTGACCCCTACAACAAGTCAAAAGGAGAGCTGTCACATTCTGAGCTTCTTTTGTCTTAAAAGCTCTTGTGTTCATCCAGGAGGGGCAGCTATAGGATTTATGCTTTTCCATACAATGAGATGACAAGAAATTAGATCTTGACACTCAGAGACTTGTGCTCCAGGGAGACTTGCTCCATTACTCCCATCCCCAATACTAACATGTTTTCTTTCCTCTTCCTTACCTGTCAAGCTGATACGTGACAATTTGCCCAAAGATATGGAAACAGAGGCAACCCTCAGAGAAACTTACTCAGTCAGCCAAGATGATATCAGCGAGAGCCAGGCTGTCTACCAAGACTACCTTAAACTTAAGGGTTTGGACCGTGGCCATTTGAACCCCGCTTCCCATCACGACACCCAGGAAGGCAGGGACGCGACCTTCACCCTCACCAACATAGTGCCCCAGAACACTGCACTCAACAACGGCGCCTGGAACCGCTATGAGATGAAAACAATGCCCAAGAAAAGCAAGGACTGTAAAACCACCTATGCCATTGTGGGTGCTGTGCCTGGGAACTCCTCCATCGCTGATGGGAGGGTTAATGTACCCAGCCACATCTGGGCCAGCGCCTGCTGCAAGACCAACAACAACACCATGAGTGCTTGGGCTGCCATTGCTGAGAACGATAAGGACAAGATCCGGGTCCTCAAGCTGGGGGCACTGGAGGAAAAGTTGGCTGAGCTGTATAACAGGGGACCGGTTTCTCTGTTCCACATGGACTGTCCCCGTACATAAGCCTCACATCCTGGATGCAAAAGGCTTGAGGGCTTTTCCCACATATCACAGAATCACAGAATGCTTTAAGTTGGAATGGATCTCAAGGATCATCCAGTTCCAAACCCCCCTGCAAAATAGCAGGGACACCTTCCACTAGACCAGGTTGCTCAGAGCCATGTCCAACCTGGCCTTGAACACTTCCAGGGATGGAGCAGACACAACTTCTCTTGGCAGCCTGTATCAGTGTTTCACCACCTCAGAGGAAAGAATTTCTTGCTGATACATAGCCTGACCCTGCCCTCTACCACTTTAAATCCCCCTTCTGACACTCCATGTCCTTCTTCATAGTCCCTCTCCAATTCTGGAGACTCTTCAGGTACTGGAATGGGACCTAAATTCTCCTCAGAGCCTTCACCAGGCTGAACAACCCTAACTTTCTCAGCCTGTCTCCAGAGCAGAAGTGATCCAGCTCTCAGAGTACCTTTGTGACGTCCTCTGGACTCCACCCCAACTGGTTGGTGTCCTTCTCATGTTGTGAGCCCAGAGCTGGAGGTAGTACTGCAGGTGGGGTCTCACAAGAGTAGAGTAGAGGGGGAACAAATGTCCTGTGCAGTGTCCATCCTACTCCCTGATAAAAGGGAGAAGGAGGTGGGCAGAGCCTCCAGCTGGTTTGCTTTGCTGCCCATGCTGGCAGAGAGCTCTTAGGGATGAGTCCTTGCCCTGGCAGTCTGGAGGGAACAGCTGGAGAAGAGCCCATGGACAAGGAAATCAGAGCTTCTCAGTGAGACCAGAAGGGCTTTGCCTTGTTTCCCTTTTGCTCCATACCCACAGACAGGTCTTAGTTCCTTCCCCTCCTCATTAGCTGTCCCTCAGAGTGTGCTGCTGACTTGTCCCTCACCTCCTTAGGAAGGCTGTGGGACGAGGGTGGCTCCGGTTGCCCACAGGTGTTGTGGAGTCTCCATTGCTGGAGAGGCTCAAGCCCCAAGTGGACATGATCCTGGACAACCTACCCTAGCTGAGCCTGCTTGAGCAGGGGTCTGGACTAGGAGAACTTGAGAGGTCCCTCCAAATCTCAACAATGCAGTGATTCTGTGATGCTGGGAACCAGATTTTGTTTGCTTGCTTTTGAAACCTGCACCTTGTAGAAGAAGGAGCTGAGGTCTGAGATAGGCAGGCTCAGGCATCAGATCTACAGGAAGCTTTGACCAGTCAGAGGTAAATTTCTGTCTGTGATACACTGCTTGGATAACTTCATTCTCTGCTGTGCTTCTGAACCTTTTCTGCAGATTTATGGCTAAAGGATTTCATAAAATGTATTCAGAGTATCCAATATAATCAATGTAATCAATGTGTCAATCAAAAGATCCGTGTGTGCCAGATCATGTAGTTCCTGAGTAGTTCATAATAAAAATTATTTGCTTCAGTGCTGGATTGCAGAGTCATCTTATATATAAGCCACAAGTTGCTTCTTGCTGAAATCTCAATTTCCTAGTGATGTCACAGTCCCCAGAGCATCCTTGCAGGAGGAAGGGGTTCCAAGTCAACCCTGAAAGTGACATAACAGGTACTAAAGTGTCCCCATCAGACTGCAGTTACTTCTGCTAGGAATGGGCATGAACCAAGTGGATCAGGCTGCAAACAGCTCCTACAAGCTGTGTCACTTCCAGAGGTACCAGCTTGAGCCTGAACTTCTCAGCTCAGCAGCTGTTGTTCACCATCCTACAGTGTCACATCGCACCCTGTGCCCTTGAGGTGCCCTGAGGTGTGTGAGAGCCCCGGTGGGGCTGATCTGCTGCAGAATCCTGGGGAACACCAAACCCATCTGGGCCATCAGCCAGAGGCCAGGCAGGTTCCCCAAGGGCATCTGCAGTGGCTCTGGACACCTGAGCACAGGGAACCAGATCCCAGCACAGACCCTGGTAGTGCCTGGTAGCACCAGGGACTTGTGCTCTTGTTGTCTCCATTGCCAAGGTAAGAGCAGCAGTAGCACTCACTTGTGCCAGCTGGATAGCTTAGAGAGGTAAGAGAATATTTTGCTGTTTAGGAGGACAAAGTAGGAATATCGCTTTGACACCCTTCTGCTGGACAACCCCTGTGCCCCAGGTCCCTGCCCCCATGGGTTTTTTCTCCTGGGATCAAATGCCAACACAGCCCACTCCTGGTGCTGGTTCAGGCTGAGGGACCTCTGCAGACACCTCTGCTGTACCTCATGGGGCTCTCTCTGACTCGTTTACCCACCTCTTTATGCCCACTGGGTCGTCATCCTTACCATGTCTCATCCCATGCCCCATTACTCTTGCTTTCTAGCATTTGGAATCACGGGCTGCTTGACCATCCCTGTGAGTGCCACCTTTGTCAACCTCTCACATTCTCCCCAGGACCTTTAATCCTGTCAGTACCCAGAAATGCCCTCCACTCCTCAGTAAGCCTGTGAAATACATGGGAAGCGTAAAAACGAAAGGAATCAGCTTGGTGTCTGCCTTCCAGCAGGTCTCAGGTTGGAGCTGATCCGAGGGCTGCCCCAGCCCCACGAGCACCCTCTCAGGCAGCTTCCATCTGTGGTTTCCTCTGTTTTCTGCTGACCCTGGTTGTGAATGGGTGTGGTAGTTTGGTCTGGGCCTTCCTTGGTGACCAGTTTGTAACCAAGGAAGGGTCCAGATTTACCCGGTATTCCCTACGATTTTTACGTAAGCCGGGCTATAAGAAGACAGAAGGAGAGGCCTTCGCTCTCTCTTTCCTTCCGGCGGCTTTGGAGGTGCAGGTTCCCTGCTGTTGAGTCTGTCGGGTTGGGGAGCGAGGCCTGGTAAGGCCTTCTCGACCTTGGGAGACAGAGGTTGCCGGCGATTGTTCCAGAGCGACTCTCAGTTGTCCCAAGGAGAGTAGTGAGATATTTCTTTGCTAACTTTTTTAGTTGCTAGATCTCGGGCTACTGATTGGGATATATATATTTTATTTTGGTTTTGTTCCTTTTCCCTTCCCCCTTCCCTTTCCCTTGTGAAATTGTATATATTTCAATTGTATATAACTGTAACATAAGTGTAAATATATTTATATGTATATTACTTTAGCTGTCTCTCTCTCGTTTTGGGTTTTTTCTTGTTTTTTTTTTCTCCCTCTTCTCCCCGAGGTTTGGGGGAGGGGGGGGGGAGGGACTTCTTGTGGTAAGGTTTGGAGACTTGGCAGGGAGCCAGCTTCAAAACATATCAATGGGGAATAATGATTTAGCTCTTTCATGAGCCCAGAGCCAGTCCATGCCCCCAGTGGTGCTGGAAGCACCTCCATCCACTGGGAAGATGCAGCTGTGCTGACATGGGAAGGTAATTTTGCGGTTTGTTGTGTGTCTGTGCATCTCTGGGGAGAGCTGTGGGCACTGGTGTGTGCACGTGAAAGTGGGGGGAGTTCACCTGACCCTTAGAGAGGGGAGATTTTCTTGACCCACAGAGATTTATTTGTCTGTTAATGGCCCAGGGAAAACAAAACCGTGTATATCCAACCAGTCTGTCAAGTATCCCATAAGGGGACTCTTCACCAAACACTCTTCACAGGATGGGGGATGATTTGGTTGCCCTTTTCAGGGGGCTCCCACCCAACAGCATAAGGGAGAACCCCTCAGTGGACCTGCCAGTATGTTATTCCACTGCCAGCAATCTGTCAACACCTTATAAAGGACTCACTTTAACAGTTGACAGAATAATACTCTTTATTCATACAAACTGTGACAGGTTAATAAGGTTTGTAGGTCATTGGTGATAGTGTCTAACTGCAAAAATGTGTTTAAAGCAATCTAATCATACTATAAAGAAAGCACAAACACAAACTCTAATACAAAACAATCTACCAACAGATTATGGAGCAAAAGCAAGCTCTAGTCCTGAAAGCACCACATAGAATAAGTTTGTCACCTGATAGGCATCCCTAAAGCAGGGAGGGAAGACAGGTTCAGCCTGTCAGCCAATCCCAGTAGTTGAGGTGGAACCTTCCTCCAATTTCTCCCCATTTCCAACTTCCTTTCCTATTATTTCTTTAGATTTAGGTGGGGCTTGAGTGACTCTAGTCATAAGTATGTAATTGGGTAGTTGTCCTTGGCATCTATCTTTCTTGGTGGGCACGAAGTGTCACCATGTTGCCCTCCCTGCAGGACATTTCTGAAGGGAGGCTGCAGTGCCTTCATGTTGCTCCCCTCTCCACTGCATCCCCCATAACAGGTGTTTATCAGTGTTTAGGAAACCTCTGTGGGCCATGTGACTGTGTTCCACACGGGAAGTAGCAGCTGGGTCTCCTCTGTAATCCTTGTTCTCCTTTAACTTCCAACCGTATCCATTATTCCACAGTGTGTCACTGGGATTTTAGAGAGAAAGGAAAAATGATTTTGCCCAGGAGCTGTGAGGACATGCTGGGAGCTAAACCCACTGCACTGCCAAGAGCTGGACCATGCAGCTTGCTTAGTCCTTTTCCAATAACACCAGTGGTTCAGATTCCACGTTGGCACGTGCTGTTCCAAAAGAGAAGGAAACAAGAAAATCCAGACAGTGCCATCTTCTGTCCTGTGCTTGAGAAAACAGCTGGGCAAAACTCCTTTGCTCCGTGCAGGAGCACCTCTGGCTGCCACGTGGGGAAGGCAGGCTGGGAACTGCTTTACTGCAGTTTTGGCATCTCCTGGGCAAAGGAGGTGCCATCTCCATCTGCTGGGTTGGACACACTGGAGCTACTGGATCTCTTTGATGGAGGCAGCCAATGTACTGTGTGTGGTTCTGCAGGAAGCACGTGCTGTTTGTGGCACTGCCAAGCTGATCTCCAGCTGAGCATCCGAGGGGAGTGAACATCTCAACCTCAGCCTGCAGGGACAGGCTTTTTCCTGGGAAATGAGGCTCAAAGACATGAGGGCCCCTTCCAAGTCTCACAGGCGATCCCACTGGCAATTTCCTGTCTTCAGTTAAATGGTAATCTAGAAAAAGGAAAGAAAATATTACTTTCATCCATCTAAGTCCTTGATCTTGCTGGGAGCTATTAGAAGAAAG